GGCTGAATTCTATGCTCTGCAGAAAATGTCTCCTGTCACATAACCCGGTGTACTCTGGTCATGGTGCTGTTGGACTCCTTCATTAACTTGCATCTAGTGCACACCTTGCTGTTTGTACTAATTGTACAATCACAGATACTTTCAGAGTACATAACAGCGCTCTGTGTTTAAAAAACATTGCCACTGAAAGGAACGCTTCTTAAGGGCCTACATTATTATTCAAATTGATGCTGAGGGTGATGTAAAGAAGGAAGCATCTTCAACAGCACTTCACTGATCTTTCTACAGCAACTTGTATCAGCCTCATTATGCTGTTTATGCAAACACAGTAAGATGCCGTCTCATTGGTATTACGCTACTAATTGGAACTACTACTTTCAGAAAGAAAAAGTAAGTTTTAAAGGCCAAAATGGAAACCTGGTTTTAATGTATATCACAGCATTCCTTTCTTTACCAAGGTCTGTTGTATTTATAATTACAAAAACAATTCTAACCTATCCAGCCATTTTGTCCACTACATTTATCAATGTATTTAATCAATACAATACTTTTACTTTGCTATTTTGCTGTCAGGTTTCACAGATAAATACTGTCTTAACATAATGAAAATAGACTGCATCTGGCATAAACCCACCTGAAATGAATTCTAGGAAGGCTCCAGCCAATGGTAGGGGTGGTCAATGCAAGAAGGCAACGCGGCAGCTACTGCTTCATTCTTTACAGCCACCCCAGTGTTTCCCTAAGATCCTGTAGGTTTGTGGCGTGTGCTAAACTGGGGGCTTTTTCTAGAGTTTTATTAATATGAAACTATGTGATCTTTACTTTTTAATAAACATAAAGTACAACTTTTGAAAATATTTGAGGAGACTGGAAGGTAGGAATGAGTCAAAAACTTTGTGGCATATGCTTCTGTGCCTTCATAGATCCAAGGATTCATCTCTTTTTTCTGTTTGTTTTTTCTGGTTCAGCAATAGGTAAGCCAAGAATGTCAGCAGCGAATATCTCTGCTGTGATTTCCTCTGGAATTTCTTCTTCAGTCAAAGCTGCTGCACCTGGAGAGCAGCAACAACACAAAACACACAATAGCAACGTAAAAACGGCTTTCCAGATCAGTAAAATTTATAAGCAGGAGTAAGTGGATGGAATGTTTGAACACAAAACACACAATAGCAACATAAAAACGGCTTTCCAGATCAGTAAACTTTATAAGCAGGAGTAAGTGGATGGAATGTTTTTAAAAATGTGTGAAGTAATCACGAAAAAGTATTGGCTTGCTGGCTTAATACTTCATGCATTTGTATCGGGGATCGACTCTGTTGAATCTGCGAGGCTGCGAGTCTCACCTTGCGGTAGATCCCTACCTCAGAAGAGTCAAGGGGCCAAATGCCACTTTCACACTCTGTTGATTTGACATGATTTTAGGATCCCGAGGATCTTTAGTTCCCTTCGGGAGCTGCACCTTGGCTGCGCGCAGCCTGTTTGCCAACGGACCTAACCAGATGCTCTTCTGGACTGGTGTGGACTGGGACATGGCTTGTATAAACACACAGCACTTCCCAACAGTTGCAACTACAACGGGCAACGCCACTTGGCTGAAATCAACCCTGTGATCTGCTGATCGAGACTGGTGTAGACTGGGACATAAATTGTAGCCAAATGTGGTGGTTCTCAGCAGCTCCCTTACGATGCACATCACCGCCTGGATGGCATCGACGCTGTGATTTGCGTATCGTAGGATTCCTTTTTGCCTGGAGGCTCTGGCCCGTAAACCTTCCACTGTATGTTTCTAATTTCAGTTCCAAGCCAGCAGATAAACAGCAATGTAATCTTGTCAGGTCCCAGTTACGTTTCATTGTCCATTTATTTTTAGAGACACCCCTGCAATTGCTGCATGGATGAAGGACAATCTATAGCTCTACGACTATTTTTGCAACCCCGTCCGAGCGTTTTTGACAGCTCTTGGCCTAACGGGGTAATTGGTTTGCAATTTAAATTATTCTGTTTGGGAATTGAAGCGAACCTGCTTCGGTGCTGTGTGGAACGCTAATCCTGTACCTGAGGGATCGTAAGTGTCCGGTTCGGATCCTCCTCCCCCAGGACGCTTGCCCAGCAGGGTGGTCAGACACTGCGCCAGCTCGTCCTCTGTCATGTGCTCTCCTGTACAAAACAAAGCAACACCGGCCTCTTGGGTTGTGGTGTCATCAGCACGAAAACCAGAAGGCAACTCAAACAAGAACAAACAAAACAGGACAGTTTGGAAGAGCTTCTCTAAGGTAGATACACATCGCTGGTCAAAACGTGTGATCCCGACACAGGAAAACATTGATCCTAAGGAAAATTGTTCTTGCATGTGGCATTTTGGGCAAAAATATTTATCAGAGGGAGAAATTCTCATCCAAATGCCTCTTTAGGCTACATTGCACTTGCAGGGGCTTGAGATTCTATTCCCACTTAAGAATTCCTGGCACAGGACGGACCACAGTCCACGTCGCTTCGTGGCTGTAGTCATTTCCACACAACGCAGGAAGAAGGTGGTGCAGGAAAGCCTTGATCTAGCATCCTGGAATAACCTGGACATAGCCTTTATTCCCAGTTAGTGGTTGGCTCATGCCCTGAAGCATAAAGTTATAGATCTGTTATGAAACTGTTCTATCTAATGTATCTATTTATGGATGTTCACACCATCCATATAAATAACTAACCTTCCTCAAACTGGTTGAATCCTTGGTTTCCAAGGATCTTTGCGGCAAGGAGCTTTACCAGATGATGTACCGAGTAAAACAGCATTTCCCTTTACCTGTTTTAATGCTTAGCTGCACTAAATGCTCCCTGCTTTTACAACAGGAGCAAGGCAACACAAGTTCATTATTTACCTCTCTACGGCATTAGCTATAAGCATACTTATACATGCCTTTACAGAGTTCCCTCTGATTCGGCTGAACTAAACTGTCTCATCTTTTCAGCCTTTCACACATAGGTTCAGTCCAGGACCAACCAATTCCATCCTTTCTTTCTTGTCCCCCTCTTTTTCAGCTTTATACTACCTTTCTGGAGACTGTGACTGGAAGAGAGAACAGTGATTCAGGATAAGGGTATACTGGAAGAAGGATACAATTTGCCAAGATCCATGCTCGTCGTTTGACAGACAAGGTACTTCAGGCCAGCAGAGTTTTCCAGAGCAGTAAAAGAAGTGCAGCTGAGACAATAGACGTGATTATTCAATTTAAAATCCTAAGACGTGTAGCTCCACATGCCTGCCCTGGTTACCAAACTATAGTTCCAGATTAATTTTTTGCTGCAGTGAATACATTCTGAAATTGAAGGCAGAACTACCAAGCATAAAACTAATATTAGAAAAGAAATAACTCACCTCTGCACTGAAGCAGCAACAGTAAGTCTCCTCTGTCAATAACTTTGTCTCCATTCTCATTATCATAACCAAGAACCTGAAACGCTTGTCGTATTTTTTTCATTGAAAAGCCAAACACAGGTCGATGATTTATATAAAGTTTGATAAAGTCCTCTAAATTGATTTTTGTCACTTGTTCTCCAGTATCCACATATGTGCTGAATTTTACTTCGTTTATCATTTCTTCAATCTAAAGATCAAGGCAAGACAGATTGTGACACGTTTTCTTTTTGAAGAACATCAGGCCAGTTTCTGATCTCATGAATGCCAATGTGCCGTAATCGTGCACGTACTGGTACCACAGATGCCACGGCCATAGCCCAGTAAGAAGCTAACACTCAGCAGCTGAGGATGGACATGGCTAACAGTTACGCGCTCGCTATTAACGACGATGTTAGGTAAAGACGGGGGCAGCAGATACGTAGTCATTTTGGATTTCCTCTATTTTCTCGTGATGGGCGCCTGGTGACTTTGCAGCTGTTACCGGTGCCTTTGCCGCAGCTGTGTCCCCGCTCTGGGGACAGCAGGCAGGCAAACCACAAACCAGTAAATATACTACCCCGCTACAAAAGTAGATGCATGAAAGTCCCGACGTAACCAGGTTGCACACAGTATATACGCACCCTGGCCGGCATAAGCAATCCTCCCCCCCTCCCCGATCTGACCCGCGTCTGGTGCAGCTCTGCCACCGCGCAAGCCGAATCTGAAATTTGCTCAGTGGGGCTGAGATCCTGCGCGGCTGGATCGATCACTCTGCTCTTGGGCAAACGGGCAAGCACCGGCCGTGCTGGATACTAGTGGTTTTCCTGAGGGCTGGTGCTGTGAGTCAGCCCAGTTGGCAGATGCGTGTCCGAAGGGCAGGATCTGCTCCACGCCTCCATCGTACTCATGCTCCAAGGGGCAGCCCCTTTGGACACGCACGGCCGGCAGAGAGGCGCTGGGAGAATTCCCCGTGCCAACACGCACCAAGCCTGCTACTCCCCGGGAAGGGAAGCTGATGCAAGATCTCCCTGGGGAGGACTTTGCATTCAGCCTTGGGCCTTTGTCCTTGTGTCACAAGTTTTTCCACTGAATGAAGCCCGGGGAAGAGGGAAAGCTCAGCCTTATATTTTTCCTGTAGCGAATGTCACGCCAGGCAAGAACAGTCATTTGCACTCAGCTCTGGCTGATCTGGGATTAGGTTTTATATCAGCCCCACTGAACTACAAAAGAAAAACACCAATTCCCAAAAGCCTTGCTTTTCTCCCTCCTGCTTTTCCTTTATTAAAACACCCTAGAGAGAGATGAACTTTCCCTCTGTATTTTTAATACTGTCCTACCTGCTTCAAGAAGCAGATTGTAGGTCGCCTGGTTTCACAGCATCTTAGCACCTCTGTTTCCATGCCTGAAATGCTGTTTTCATTTTGATTTGGGGCAGAGGCGGAGGGGGGGTGTGTGTGTGTGTGTGTGTGTGTGTGTTACCCGTTACAGAGACATTTCCCAGGGGAATATGTTCCCTCTGTCCCCAAGAGATGAAAATATAATGAGACAAGGAAAAGAGCTAACAAAGTAGGAGGGGATAACACCACAGCTTGACACGAGGGTGAAGCAGTCCCAGCTCAGATGCACGTTTGCTGGTTGCGGGGGGCCCAAAGCAAGTCCATGAGGTGGTGGCTGTAGCAAAGGTCCTGCCTCCCATCTGCTGGCTCTCCTGGCAGGGAGGACGCCCGGGCAGACGGGCTGGCACTGACTCACAGCACCGTCTCCGCAGCCTGTGGGGTTCCTCTGCAATCAGCAGAGACAAAGGCCGCCTCCACCGCAGAAAGATGAAGGGAGCACAGCGAGGTACCGCTTCCCTTGGGAGAGCCCCTCCTGCGTTGAAGGGCTGTAGCCGGTGCAAAGAGGTTGTTATTTAAATCTCTTTGCATCAGGTTCAGTACATTTTTTTTTGCATGCGCTATAATTACCCTTTCGCCGGGTTACAACATAACAAATGAGGTCTGTATACAATACAAACTGCCTTATAGAAACGGCTACAAAAGGGGAAGAAGCAGCACCCTTATTAAATCAGTTGTCTTTGCTGTAAAATTTGAAGCTAAAAAGCTCTTGAGAAATGTTTGATAGGAAGCTCTACTGCTGCAATCTGAAAGGCAAGCTCAGAGAGAGCTTCTGCAGAGTTTATCAGTTATGAAAGAGCTTTAAACTCCATGGGAATAAAAGCTGCTGTCTCCATCTAAAATAATTCTTTCATCAGTCCCAAGCAGAACCAGAAAAAGAGGTTCTATCAACGTCCCAACGAATGGCTACATGGAGCTGGACATTTCCACTCGTGCTGGTAACACATGCAGGATGCTCTGCTTGAGTGGACCTCAGACCTGGAGGGACTCAGCCCATGGCCCACTAACCTCATGCAGCCTGTAAAGCAGCTCAGCTAGTAGTGGAACTCAGAGAGACACCAAAACACAAGGCTGCCTGCACCCAAGGTAGTTTAGCCCATGGACTGTGCAAAGTTGGAGGCTGCTGCCCGAGGGAGCCGAAGGAAGATTCATTCCTCAACTTTCTCCATCCATCTTCTGAAGAAACCCACCTCTCTGCAGCGGTAGCAGAGCACTCAACCTCCAGAAGACGCTGAGGCCATCCTTTGTTGAGCACTTCTGAACCATCAGGCTCCAGCTTTGCTCAGCCTGCCCCTGTGTGTGCCCAGCTCTCTAGTGAGGAATCATTATTTTTTGAGGAATTTGCTGCCTAATTCTGACCACTACTACATTTATGCAGATCAGATTAAATACACTGAAAGCCAGCAAATATACCCTGGAGCCATCCAGCATAAGAACGGTCAGGGTCTGGCCCTCGGGACACTTGGTAAATGCAATCATTCTTGCTCTTTTTTTTTTCTTTTAACAACAACAATAAAAACAACTGACCGACCTTTTCCTCTGATGGATAAAATCCCATTGCTCTCATTACAGAAGGAATTTCCTCCAAGGGAATATGGGTTGACACCTGTCTGGTCTCCAGTGTATCAATACCCTGGCTGCGCAGCTGCGCGTAGTAAAAATAGTCTTCCAGTTCCTGCGAGGGGTTTGAACAAGATACTGTAAAGTTCAGATACCAACAGGCAAGGAAGATAAGGCTCCTTTTAAGATTTACTAACAGGCATATCAATGAGATTGCTGTTAAAGGCGAGCTGGACAAAAAAAATAAAGAAATGTCATGCCTGTATAAATGAATCTTAAACACCAACCAGATGTTGCCAGACAGCATTCACAGTGAGCATAATTACCCTGAAGAATTCGCCTTCCCTGCCGCCATCCAGTAGGTTGTAGAACGGGATCAAGTCCTCCCCACCCAGGGAAGCAGCAGCATCCAAGGCACTGGCAGAAATAGAGAAAAGAAGGTACGGGAAGGGTTCATGTGAGGAGAGGTTTCATGTTTCCCTTTCTAGTCATTCTTCACAGACGCTTTCAATAGATAAATAAAATCTCTGGACCTCAGAATTCGGGAAGGAAATGCATTGCCTTGAACCGTGTGCTATTTTATCATCAGCCTGCGCTTCTACAGCATATTTCATACCCAGGTTTTACATACAATAGCACAGTGTGGGAATTAATTATTACTGAATGGTCCTCTTGTTTAGTGGAATGAGCACAGGGCTGGGAGCCAGGAGCTTTTCCATGGACTTGAGCTTGGTGTCTGGCATTTAGCTTTTCTGCTTCCTTATAGAGACATTGAGGGAGATGAATTAGCTAGATCAGCATTTTGAACATGCAGAGAGGGCCGGGGCTTGGTGTTCGCAATAAACCACACAAACCTAAGCCCCTTGTCCCTCGATCTAACACGTTCCTCCCCAACAACTCAGCGCAATCCATTACTCTACTTCCTCTGCCGTAGCGGGTGACCCTGTTGCAGGTGCGGTCTACATTAAGCAGAAAGTGTCTGGGTGCCACCTCTTTGTTTCAATTTCATAGGCAGTTGGAGCCCAAAGAATCCGTCCGGCTCATGCAGATGAAAAAGGAAACCCAGCCCGGTAGCGCAATCGTGGCGTAGCGTTGCCACACAATATCCCACGACTGGCAGCAAGGCTGCGGCTTTCACGCACACCTCTGTGGTGCTGCGTCCGCTGGGTTTTTTGCAAGCTTCATGCTTTCTTCATAATTAAGTTATCTGGGTATTAAACACAGCGGAGATGCGCAAGATGCCAGAAGCAGCAATAAAATTATAATTAGCTCATCAAGAGCTTCGCTCCGAAAACAAATTACATAGAAATTCAATGTTGCCTGGACCCTGGCCAACCATTATAAAGAAGGATCATTTATATTCTATTGCCTTCCTTAAAATGTCGCTTATTCTGACCCCCGACTGCTTAAGCCACACAACATGGAAAAGAAAATAAATAAGCCCATTGCTTTCCCACCCAGTTTTCCTTTGTTCTGGCACATGAAGGTGAGCTGGCTCAGCACCCTCTGGTCTTTCCTCTGAGCGAGTAGTACCTGCAAGAAGTGTTTTACACGGGACCAGCACGTGTCTTAAGCACGAAGCTTTTGTCCTAGTAAGGTGAGGGGTAACGGTGTTTCACAGGTGCACTCCAAAAGGCAAAAATAGGAGGGAGGGCTGAAAGCCAGCTCCCGGAACCAGAAGACGTGCTCTGTGCTAGTGGGGTGACATGCAGGATAAACAAAAAAAACCAAAACCAGCCACAGGCTGACAGAGACCATGCCACGCTATGGATCTTTTCTAGCTCCAACACGGGCTAAGCTCCCTTTCCAGTCCTTGAAGCGTGAAGGTGAAGATGCTCGGCGCTGGCCTGGCGGTTTTCAGCTCATTCGCAGCTGCCTGCACCCTCCCTGCGTAGATGTACGCGCGTATCAACGGGCGCCTGCAGCCATGCTCGCGGAGGGAGAGCCCTCTGCCCCGCGCGTGCATCGCAACCAGCAGCTCTGGTCCTCGACACGCAAAGGAACCAAAATATATGCCCTGCCTTTGCCGCCTTACCCGCCGGCACGTGGGAGCGGACGTCTGGCAGCGCTGTCCGAGGGAGCTGGCAGAGGGAAACTGCGCTTCCAGGGACAGGCAGAAGAAACCTGGCAGGGTTTATCACTGACGCTCGGGGCCAGAGCCTGGAAATCCTTGTTTGCAAAAGCAGCCTTCACTCCTCCAGCCACCCCGTTTACTGCAGTCCCTTTACTCATGTAAGCAAAGCTTTATAGGATTAAGGTGGCTTGTCCTAAACCCAGTCCTCAAGCGCAGGGGGAATTTCCTGGCGCATGCCGGCCCACCCCATTCGGAGAGCAGGCGCTTCTGCAGCGGCAGTCGTCCCATACGCTCCTCCTGCGGCCAGTGCCGCTCCTCTCATCAGCCGCGGCAGTCCCCCGTCACACTGGCCAGGCCCTCACAAGGACCAGAAAATCCTCTGCTCAGCTTCTTACCGCTTGGGTACCGTTTCCCAGACTGGTGTATTTTATAGGCGCTATGGCCGCCGCCTGCGGGGTCTTCTGGTTTAATCCCCACTATTGACTATGTCCCGGGTTGAGCAGGGATGCTGCCAGCCTCCACTCACGCTCCTCGCAGCGAGTGGTGGGTCTCCTGCCCGCAGGAGTGCTGGGACCTGTCCTCCACCCTGTGGGCCCCCCTTGCCAGAGGCGGTCTGCCGGCCGGGTGGCGGGCACGGTGTTGCGGGAGGAGAGCGAAGCTGCAGGGCTCTGTCACCTGCCCCGGCAGGAGCCGTGCTCGCGAGAGCCCTGCAAAGGGACGCTCCCCGTGCAGCTCCCTGCCGTGTTGCCCTGCGGGTGCGGGACTGCCCTGTGCACCGGGGTAAGCGTAGAAATAGCTGGGAGACCTGCCTTTAACTCTTCTGGACACAAACAGAGACCTTTAGGACAAAAGCCCCATTGCCAGTGTAAATGCTGGGGAACACTTGCTTCGGCTGTGTTGGCCAAGCTGTGGAAAGCCGTAACAAGACTCCGTTCTCTGTCCTGCGGTACTCACTTTAGGTTGACCTCCCATTTCATGACCGTGCAGTCATTCCCCCCCGCCGTAAAGATGTAGCGTCCGTCGTAGGAACTAGCAAGGTCAGAGGCACCATCTGGGTGGCAAATGAAAGCTGAGGACTTGTGGGGGTTGCCATCGACAGGCAAAATCTGCAAGCCCACCTGTAAGGAAAGAAGGGTCCTGGCAGGGCTGGGGGTCCCACAGCACAGCGCTGTGTCCTCCTCCCGGGAGCTTGCTCAGCTCTCAGGCAGGACCAGCCTACACATTGTTTTGTCTGCAGTGACATTCCCATGGGGACTACCACCTCTACGAGAGGGGGCTCGTGTACAGCTGGAGTGGATGGGGCTCCATACCTTGTCCTTTGTAATGTACGCCAGATAGCATTTCTGGGGGTCCGTATTGCTTGTCGTTGGGAGGATTTGTATCTTCTCCAATGGGGAGCCATAGGTTGGTCCCAAAAGGGTCTTTCTGGAGGAGAACAACATTTTCATCCATTCTAGGGCTCACAAAACATTTTCCCTCTCTGAAGGGCTGCTATGCACAAAGATGGGTAGATATGGGGGGGTGTGGTGGGTGCAAAGGCTTTGTACTATTGGCTGAGGACAGGATAGGACAGGGTCCCTGGCTAGGAGGGACAACACTGGGGCTGAGAGAGGAATCGGGGATCATTCAGTCCTTGTGCTTTGCTCGTATGGGCTCCTGTCTCTCTATCTGATGTCCAGCTGCTGCATCTCAAGTCCAACATGCCGGACAGACCGAGAGCCACTGCAGCCACAACCTTACTAGATGACACGTTAGTGAACAGCAGAGTGGACACAAGGATGGGGCAAACTGGGGGCCCTAGAGTCATCCCAAGATCTGCATCATGGATGGGCAAACACATACTCATGGGTGGGAGCAGGGCTGACCTTTGGCAGAGGAGAACATAGAGTCAGGATGGGGCTCCCAGGCAGCGGTAGGCCTGACTCTCTCCTTTACCTGCACATTTTGGTTGTCGTGTTGTAGAGCTTCATTTTGTAGCAGTTGTTGGCAGTGAGGATAAAGGACTCGGTGCTGAGCTGTGGGTACCAGGCCAAGCACAGGGGTACAGCAACCTGCTCTACTCGATCCCTGTGCAAGACCACCAGGTGGTCCTTGCTGCTGTTGTCCAGGTCATATTCAACCTGGAGGGAAGAGAAGGAAACACCGCAACTCCCCTGTGGTGTGCCAGCACCCTGGACCTTGTGGATTACCTGGATCCAGCATCTCTTGCAGCAGCCGGGGTGAGCAGTAGTAGTAGAGCCTCAGCCCTGAACCCTGGGCAGATCTGCCCTGAGATCAGGCTGAGAAACAAACCCTGCGACGGAGCTGGTGGGGAGAGGTTAGGAGCTGCAGAGCCAAAGACTGAGTCTCCCTTGATGCTCTTGTCCAGCCCCTCACTTCAACCACAAAGCTCCGCTGCATTTTAGACTTTCACATTTACCTACCAGCTGCCGGTCTTCCCCAAGGCTCAGGAGCCTGGGCTCGTTGCCATCTAGCTGGACCCCAAAGAGGATGCTCCGGATGGGTTTGTAGTGGGAGTGCAGCCCTGCTAGGTGTTCCCAGCATCTGCTCCCATTTTGCAGGGCTCTCTTGTAAACAGTCACTGAGTATTTCTCATCCTGAAATGAGAGCGAGCGCAGAGGTCACTGAGCCACGATCCCCATGCACGTTCCATGGCTGGCAGCGGGCTTCTCGCGTGTCCCCTCCAGGCTTAGCTCGGCCCTTTCCATTTTGTGAGCCCCAGCAGGAGGGTTAGAGTCACAGGATAAAGCACCGAGTCAGACAGATTTGGGCAGCTGCTCCCAGCGGTATCACCACAGCAGCCCTCAGCCTGGCCGGAGGGCATTCCCTGCCCTGCCCTCACGGCAGAGGGGCAGTAAACCAAGTTCAGTGACTGCCCAGAAATCACAAGGAAGATACTTCGCACTGCTGTGCCCGGGCATCCGTGCATGAAGGGGAAGTCTTTTTCTGATGATGCTTCTCTGGAGCATCATCACCAGTTGCTACAGCCTCTGTGCCAAACTGCTTCAATGCTGCCTCAACGTTTCTGCACCAAGACGTGGGACCAAGGGAGCAACCCCCCTCGTGGTGCACCAGCCAGGAGGAAATCCCGGCTCCAGCCCTTTCTGCAGATGGATGCAGAGCTAAGGCTTGTCACTAAAAAGTTAGGGATGGGACACTGCCAGCAGCGGGTCTGTGGAGCAGCTGTGACTGGTGACGTTTTTATAGAGTGACTCTTCAAGCCAGGAAAAGCATTTTAGAGTCATGAAGCCCCTGGGGAGGGACAGCCCTCGGCACCACTCGCTCTGCTGTGCCTCGCAGGATGGCCGGCAATTCCCGGTCCCACCAAAAGCCGTGCCGCGAGCAGCGCACGTAAATCACCGAGAGGAAAAAACAAGCTTACAGCAGTTGCGAGGTACTCCGAATCATGAGAGAAGCTGATATGAGTCACGGGACCACGTGAGAACTTGAACTCTTTGCAGCTGGACTGAAGGGAAATGGCATCGAGGATGTAAACACTTCCATCAGTAAAACCAGCGGCCAGAAAGTAACCTGAAAAGCATGCCAGAAAACTCTCACAACACGGTCGCTCCTCCCGGGAAGCCTGGTGCTTGGCACGTGGGGAGGTCCTGAGACCAGGATACCTTCAGGGTCGTAGGTCAAGCACTGGATGCCGGCCACGGTGAATATCCTGCTAACGAGGTACTTGGTCTGCTGGTAGTCCCACACCTTCAGCAGTCCACAGCGACTCCCCACAGCAACGAGTGCCTGCCGGGGGTGACAGGCGATGGCATTCACGGCTTGCTTTGCCTCTTCCATGACTTTTTCAAAGTTTGTCTTGTCTGTTGCAACATGGAGCACAGTTGCATCAGAGGTTGAAAGGATAAAGTTCCTGTTTAGTGTGAGAGAAACAGAATTTGATGAATCAGACTAGCTGGCTCATGTCCCTCCAAGCTATATTACACATTAGTCTCTCTTTGGCAACTTAGTTGGACAATCACTTATATTTTGCGATACGCAATGTGCAAACACTTCTTGACCTGGAAGGCAGGTGGCACTTTGTATTCATGACCTGGTAAATCTCCACAGGAAAGCACTGGAGCCGGTTCCATTTTCTACTTCAGTAGGCAAGCCAGAAGATGAATGACATCCGCCTAGCTTTCGCCGTTTGCAAGTCACTGGTGTGTGAGACGGACAAATGGGCAATTGAAGATACTCTGAATAGTCTTTTCACATGCCTCCATGCCACCGTTGTCAGTGGCTACATGTTGACCGCACCACCACGGACAAGGTCAGAGGACAGTTTCAGGCCCGTGCCGCAGACAGAGCAGCTGCCTCGCTGTTCACTCAGCCGTGCTGACCGTCAGGCAGAGAAGCGGGTCCCACCGCGTAACTGGTGATGTGTAAAGCAGACATCGGAATAATTACGCCCGTTACAGAACAAATATGCATAGTCATCACTCCGTCCAAAGACTGAGAGCCTGGACTGAGAGCAGAGGGTCACGAGAGGACCACGCAGAGATCTAAGAGCTGCACGGACAGATGTGCATGGCTGCATCACGCGGGCAGCACGAGTGGGGAAGCAGCAGCCCCTTTAGCTAGCTGGCCCACGACAGCCATCAGTTCACGCACATCTGGCCTGGGCACTGAAGGGTGCTGCGCCTCTTGCATGCCTTAGCTGGGCTCTTCAGCCGTACCTGATGCCACCAGCCTGGGGAGAGGAGCACGCTCAGGGCTTCCCCTTCGGTTTTCTGCCTTTTGTGCTGCCCACAGCAGCTGCAAGAGAGGAGCTGCAGCAGCGACCCAGAAAGAGGGATGAGACGACCGAGAGGGACGGGGAAAACCATCCCCCAGGGCGCTGCTCCAGGCTGGAGAAGAATCTGTCCCATATGGCTCTTTGGAAAACATGTGTGGCTAAGGACAGAGGTTGCCAGGAGAACCTTACCAAGAGCAACAGACATATGGTTTGCAGGCTGGATTGAGCCACAGAACAGCTTCATCTGGCCTGCAGACTTCCTATAAATCCTCAGGCAGAGCTGCATCACGCAGAGGGGCAGAGAGGGGCTGGCGATCAGGCTGGGGCTGTCCCAAGTCCATGTGGTGCAACCCAGCACTGGTGGCATCGCTGCTGGGGCAGTCTGCACCGCCACCACCCTGATTAGCTTGCCCAGCCATGATAAAATCTAACTGGAAACAGCCGTCCACGGGAGGGGTTCAAGGGGGGATTAAGGGGCCCAGCGGGAGCTCTAGGCTCAGCATTAGCACTGCCTGGTGTGCTGGGTACGTGACAGAGGAGCTGCGCACCCCGGGACCAGCGGAGCCTGTGTTAACGCTTCTCTCGCCCGCACCAAGGCATCACATCAAATTCAGCATTTAAGATGTGCTGGGTTTTGGCAGCCCGCTGGGAGACGCCTGGGGGCTGTGCGGGCAGAGAGGGGCTGCCCAGGGGACTCCCCCCTGCTTCTCTCTGGTGGGCAGGTGGGACAAATACCCAAAGTGAAAATCTGTGGAGACAGGAAATAAAGGGGCACCTTCCCTCTCTGTCCCTGTCCTGCCCAGAAGCCTGAGTCCAGGGCTGAAATCTGCTCCAGCCAAGGCAGAAGCCCGTGGGGCAGCTTTCAGCTGACCATCTCCCCAGCTTTCAGGCTCAGGGGGAAATGCAGGAGAAGACCTGGATTTATAAAGGGGGGCTCACCTGGCGACGAAGGGCTGGTTGCTGTCTGTGCAGGAGGTGGAGCAAGCTGGGGAGGCACCGGGAGGATCAGGAGGGGCTTTGGAGAAGGAGATGGACCGAATGGGACCCACTTTGCTGCGGCTGTAGCAGGTGAGGAGCTGCAGCTGCCCATCGTAGAATTTAACCTCACCTTTCACATCACCCGTTACTATGCAGCTGCAAGGAAGGGAAAGCTTTTGAACACCACACTGATGGAGAACTCCAAAACGTTTCTTGGGTAGCATCCTTGGGCAGAAACACATCGCATGACCTTTTGCCTTTCCTCTACACAAGTGCGTGAGCAGAGCCCCATGCAGATGTGCAGGGGGAAAACCCAGGGCTATGCAGAAGGCACCAGGCTCTGTCCTGTCCCCTGCCCTGTCCCCAAGGCTGCCAAGGCGTTTGGTGGCTGTCTGCTCCCTCTGCCGGTAAAGGCCAGGAGGCTGAGCAAGACTCATCCACCATCCTCCGTGATCGTGGCCAACCCCGTGTCTGAGCTACCCCAGCAGAGCTGGAATCGCATTGCCAGGAGTTTTTTCCCAGCCCCAAGCAAATTCATTGCTGAAAAAAGCCACAGCAACGTTGCATAAATCAGCGGCACCTTCCGGCATGAATGTGCCTGGTCCTCAGACGCTGCCAAGTGACTTGAAACGGCGACGTTCCGCCGTAGGTCATCCCCATTAGCTCCGCCATTCCTGCCTACGGACTGTACCTACGGCTACCGAAAACTGCCGTCCCGTTACCTCCCAAACACGGTGAGCACGGTAAGGCCATCCTTCTGCAGAGGCACCACTTTGGTGGCCGTCATGCTGAGCGGCTTGACCTTCAGTTCCTCGGAGGGCGTGTGGGGACTGACGGCGTCCCACACCACCAGCTTCCCAGCCGAGGTGCCCGTCAGAGCTTGTGAGTTGTTAAAATGAAAAACCGACTGGCTGAAGTGTCCCACCACGCTGTTGAAGGTCTGTGGGGAGAGCGGCAAGGCTGTGTGTTCATCCCGGGTGCCGGCTCTTCCCTCCTTGAGCAGAGAGGTTTCTGCTTGGTCCCTCTTGTGACATCCCTCCCTGTCCCACAGCAGGACCATCAGAGGCAAGAGTCCCAGGAGAAGATGTGGTGGGGCATCTCTGGGAGACAGAGAGTCCCTCTTAACCTCAGCTCAGGCAATCCTCGTTTGTCCCCTTGGGAGACCGAGGGGGACAGGCTGGGGACATGGCCACTGTTTTCGCTGAAGGGGATTAAGTGGAGGAAAGCCAAGAGGGTGACATGCCATGGTGCGCCCGGCACTCACCTGGCTGCTCAGGAGCGGAGCGCCGTACCGCAAACCGGCATCGCCCTGGGGAAAGCAGAGGAAACACCCGGGACGAGCGTTTTGTAACTGTGCTCTGCAGTGCCAGCACGTCCCCTCCTCATCATCTGGGCGCTGGCCCCGCGCTGTGGTGACCAAAGCAGGGCTCCTGGGGCAGAAAGGCTCCAAGACCTTCCAGAGAGCACAAAGCACCCTCCCTCCACCCGCTCCTCTTCCAAAAGCTGCTGATCGGCACGCGCCCTCGCTAGGGTGCAGCCCCCCGCGCTGTCTCCCAACCCTCTGGGAGCGTGTCTGGCACCAGAAATACACCTTCCCATGTCCCTACTTACCCACAGGTAAAATATCACCTGGGTTTTGCTGTTGCTGACAAACTCATAGGGATTTTGAGGGTTAAAAATGACATAATCCTGAAATTAAAAGGCGAGAATCGCATTAACGCCAAGCCAGGCAATGCTTTCTGCTTACTCTTTCACGCAAAACAGCTGCTTTTATCCAAAACCCACTTCACCACCTGCAGTGAACTGAAAAGAGAGGCCAAATTCCCTGTGAAACGTCAGAGTTGTGCTCTCTGC